GTACAAGATACAATCGGAGAATTACACACCAGCGTGCAAAACAGGAGGATCCAAAGGTTATAAAACAGTGGTTTGAAGTTGTGCAGGGCACCATTCAAGAGCATGGTATACATGAAGATGATATTTGGAACTTTGATGAGACTGGCTTTGCAATGGGACTCTGTACAACATCTAAGGTGATTACTGCAGTGGAGCGCAGTGAAAGACCTCGTACAACTATCCAGGGGAATCGCGAATGGGTCACAATCATTGAATGTGTGAGCGCAAAAGGGATTCATATACCTCCAGCAGTTATCTTAAAAGGGAAAGAACACCAGGCTGCATGGTATCAAGAGTCTAATCTTCATCCAGATTGGAAGCTTACCAACAGTGCCAATGGCTGGACAACAGATAAGATAGGCCTTGCATGGTTGGAGTGTCTATTTGACCCATTTTCCAAGCTGCATTCAACTGGCGCAAAGCGATTACTTATTCTTGATGGCCATTCAAGTCATCAAACCATTGAATTTGACAATTTCTGCAAAAAGAATGCAATTATCTGCCTTTGCATGCCTCCACATTCATCTCATCTCCTTCGACCTCTGGATGTTGGTGTTTTTGGACCGCTTAAACGTGCATATGGCAAATTAGTTGAGGGCATGATGGCGGCTGGAAACAACCATATTGATAAAGAGGATTTTCTCCATATATACCCTTCTGCACGCAAAGCAGTTTTTACTGAAAAGAATATATGCAATGGGTTTGCAGGATCTGGTCTTAAACCACTCAATAAAGACCGGGTTCTTGAGAAAATCACCTTTCAACTTCATACGCCAACACCACCACCTCTTGCTGAAGGATCAGTATCATCTGCATTTCAGACACCTCAGAATCCCCGCCAGCTTGATCACAAGATCCACAATCTGCAGAAAAGCCTTCAAAGGAAAAGGACACTTTCTAGTAGTCCAGTCTCCCATATTCAACACCTTGAAAAGGCTGCACAGATGGCAATGAATACAAACCTTCTTCTCCAACAAGAAATCAAGGTTTTACGGACTGAAAATGAGCGGAAAACAAAGAAGAAGGCAAGGAAACGTGCTTCTATAGGAGATAATCTCTTTATATCTGTACAGGAAGGTCGTGAGCGCATTCAGCAGCTTGATATACAGGATGAAGCCCAGGTTGAAGAGCCTATATCTCGGCATCGCAAGCGAGCTCCACAACGCTGTAGTGGCTGTGGGACTATAGGACATACGATAAAGAGGTTGTCCTAGTAAATAACTATTCATTTTTATTTTTTATATAGTCTAGTTTAATGGCGTTGGTGGTTGAAAAGCTTTAATATCCTTGTGGTTGCGGAGAAAATGGTCAGCTCGGTTGTATGGTCAGCTCGGCTGTGGATTACGTTATCCAACATCGTGTCCGGCACAGATGCAAGTCTAGTGCACTAACCAAATAACCATCAGAGTCTACTCAAACAACAACCTCAATTCCTCAATCCTCTCCTTCTTCCCATCTCCTTCTCCATCGCCCCCAACTCTCAACCCCAAGGATCCCGCAATGTTCATCTTCCTGTCTTGCACCCGCAACATCCGTTCCTCAATCGAATCTTTCACTACAAACCGCGTCACATTTACATCCCGTATTTGTCCCATCCGGTGCACGCGGTCAATAGCCTGCGCTTCAATGGCGAAACTCCACCACGGGTCCATCATGAAGACGTTGCTCGCGGCTGTGAGGTTGAGTCCGACGCCACCGGCGCGGAGAGAGATCAGCAAGACGGTGGGGTTAGGACTCTGGTTGGGCTTTGGTTTAGGTGCGTTGAAACGGGTGGTAGGGAGAGCGGTAGGCGTGGGGTCTTCCTCATCGATTTCCTCGTAGATTTCGGTTTTGTTGAACTGGGCGAGGACTTCGGCGCGGGCTTTTTGGGGCATTGTCCCATCGAGCCGGACGTGTTGGATGCCCGCTTTCGTGAGTTGTGGGGAGATGAGGTCGAGGAAACTGGTGAATTGGGAGAAGACTACAGATTTTGTGTTCGGTGGTATCCGGGAGAGATGATTAAGGAGGGAATGGATCTTGGCTGAGGTATGTGCAGATGGCGATAGTGGATTAATCCGGCGGAGGGAGATGCGTGGCGCTGGCTGCGAGCTGGAAGGAGGCGTGTTGCTGTAAATTTCGTTTTCAGCAGGCGCCGAATTGGGTGATTGGTGCCTGATCACTTCAAAAATATCCGTTAAGCTGACTGGTGCGCGACACGAAAAGCATCGTGGTGGTAGACCCTTGTCGATTTGATGCCGGATGTAGTCCTCTAGACACTGCTTGCAAGCGCTGTGCCAGCATGCTGCTACCGCTGGGTCGATCATAGGCTCTTCTGAGCAGATTGGACATTCCCCACTAGACTCGTTTTGGATCTGTTTCAGGGCGTAGGTTGTGAACTTGCTCGCGGGATCTTGACCTTGGCCTTCATTCGCTCCTCCAGACTCTGTGACCGTCGTAAAGCGGCTGATTAGGTCTTGCAGGTCCATGTCATCTTGGAGGCCGTTGGATGCATTGGTTACAGTGGCTGCTTCTTCCTCGTCGGCAACGATTTCTTTATTGCGGGTGAGGATGGGATGACAGCAACTCTGGCGAAGACGCAGGATTTGTGCGAAGATGGTTGAATACGACTTCAGCAAAGTACCCGCTTCGACGTTGTCGTTGAATGTACGCTTAGCTCGCGTGTATATAAAGTCGTACACCTCTCTTTCTTCTTTTGAGAGATCGACTTCTTCAATCGTAATGGTCCGGCGTGGTAGCGGCACTAATGGTTCCCCTTCTGGGGTCTTCATCGTCTTTGTACGCCGTAAGACCAGCGGCTCCAGCACTGTCTGCACGACATTGAGCGCGCGTGCGTAGTCCTTGGACTCGAATGGTACTGTGATGAAAGTCTTCCAGAAAGAAAAGTTGTTCCACGGCTCAACCTTGAGGAACCGCACCAAACTAAACAAGTCCTCCAGGCGGTTCACGATAGGAGTTCCTGTGAGAACCCATCGATGAGTCGCATTCAGATCGTAACAAGCCCGCGCCGTCTTTGAACGGCGATTCTTAATCACATGCGCCTCGTCGAGGATGACTCGGTGGAACTTCACCGTGAACAATGAGCCATACCAGCTTTCCGTCTGCCACCTTGAGCGCCACACATGCGAACTGTACTCAGAGAGGACAACACCATAACTAGTTACAATGACACGAGGAGCTGAAGCAGCATTTGCCGCACAACAAACCTTCCTCAGGTTAGTTGACTGTTCAGTCCCATAGTACATCATGGTGTTCATCGTCCCGGATTGGGCAGACTTTTGAGCCTCGCTCTCCCATTGCGCAAGAAGAGATGTGGGTGCGACGACAAGGGTAGTGTATGGCGCGGGAACAACACCAGAGGAATCCGGTTGTGTCATACTGGGATCTTTGAGAATGGGATCCCCTGGATTGTATTGATGTGCGTTAACGAGACTAAGCATTTCAATTGTTTTACCCAGACCCATCTCGTCGGCCAGAATGCCACCAAGACAGTTTTGTTCCTGAGCAGGGAATTCGATGCTGAGTTCCCCAGAGTACGGGTTGACATAAAAGTGATTTATCCCTTCAACAACTGGAAGATCCTTGTCATCAGCATCCTTTGTGGGCCACTGATACTCTTCCCACAAAGGATGCATTGATTTCCTTGTGCTCTTAGACTTGTTGTCCTTCTCTTTGGATAGCATCCAATGAAGTGCCTGTCTCTGGTACTTTCTTAGTTCCATGGCAAACGTCGACGAGGGTTGAGCCTCCGGCATATTGAAATCGAAAGTCTGGGCTTTCTTGTACAGGGTATCAAGCTGGTCCCTTTCTAACTCCGGCTCTTCGTTGTCCTCGTCCTGAGGGCTGTTATTCGTCTTGTTCTCTTTCTTGACTTTGTCATACTGTTCCGACATTTCAGCTGCACGAAGTAATCCTTCTTTTGTGTGTTTCTTGGTCATATCGTTGGCCGTCGTCGCATATAGGCCGATTTCGTCAAACAGCTTTATAAGACCAACCTGACGCAGGCGCAAGTTCTTTTCTTCCATGCTCTCCTTTTCTTCAAACATGCCGGTAGATCTATTATCGTCCGTTGTGCCAACGAATGCCCGAGGTATAAATGCTTCTTTGCGCAAATAGCACCACAATTGGAGATACACCGTGTCATTCACCCGCAGGCGGTCGGGAACAAACACACAGACACCGTCAAAAGTGCATATCTTTTGGTCAACCAATGGTGACACCCACTCCGCGATTTCTCGCGGCAGTCTTCCAATCTCCTGACCGGCTTGGTTGGTGAAACGGGTGAGGACATCCACCTTTTGATTGGTGATCGTTTTGCCCCCACGCCCGCGCTTTTCCAGGGGCTGGGATCGTGTACGCTCGATCTTGACACGCTCTCCATGTTTGAGTAATCCCGTACCACTTCGAGTAGCCCATGCTGCAACACCAAAAGCACCGATGTACCTGGATGAGGGCTGAGACGAGAGGCGTGACGGCATTTGTTTTGCTGGCGCAGTCGTTCCATTACTGTTGTTAATCTCTACTGTAGGCTGCATAAACGGTGTCATCTGTGTAGGGATCTGTTGACGAGACGTCAATGCGGACTGCGTTGTTCTGCTTAGAATAGACGTTTTCTTCCACGATCCGTCGAAGTAAACATTGACTGCCGTTTCTACATTGTTGTTTGAAGCTATGCGAATCTTCTCGACTGTGCTAGCTGGCAGTTGCTCTCCAACGATGCTCGTGAATAGTTCCGTATCAAATCCACTATTGTCTGTTTGTGGCGTTTCTCTCGGCGTACTCTGTGCTTCAAGGTCTGGCTCGTCAGGTGGTCCGATGGGCTCTCCATTTTCCCCGTCAATGAAATTTTTAACGATTCTGTCAACCGGACTCGGATTTCGCCTGCGTACTGCGCCGTTCGAATGCTTGTGGAATGTCTCGTACTGGTGTTTGGCGGGCGTATCAGGGGAAGGGAGTAGCGGGGACACTTTTAGCTCCTGGCCCGGCTGATATAACGACCATGGCTGTGTCCCAGTCTCCTGGCCATTGCCGTTATCGTGCTCGTCCGATCGAGAAGCGCTTGACGCGTCGAGGTTCGTCGGGGTAGGGTCGGTGTTTCTGGTCTCGTCTTCGTCAACGAAAAATCGCCTCTTTTTGTAGGGTCTCTCATTATCTCCAAGGTCCATGTTCGACAGGTTTCCGGGGTCAAATAGACACTGTTCTGAACCCTCGCAGGTGTAAAGATCGGGAAAGGCTCAACTCCGAAGACGCGCCGAGACGCGACGCTGCGAAATTTCGGGCCGACGTCATTTTTTCCGGATTATCATTAGCGGCGTTGTTACTCGACAATGCTTTTTGCTGCGTGGTCTTTATCACGGGTTTTTCTTTCTGCTACTCGAAAGAACCATAGGTATGTGAATGTTCATTTTTATTTTATTTTGCTATGTTCGACTAACATCTTCTCTGCAGAAAATTCTATACATCCGAGTGCAATAATCGCAATGCGACAGCGCTACCTCAGTCCTTCGACATAGGCGATCGATAGAGCAAAAAAATTACCCCAGATTCCCGAGCAATGTTCCTTCTCAGACCTACCATCCGCAATTGTGCAGGCAGGCATTTATGTCTAGCCTACCGGACACAAAGACATTTCAGCCAATCGAGGCCTGTGGCTAGTCCGGCACCAGGTGCAGCAGAGGCTGAAGTTCAAGCTGCACGGAGATACTGTGTGGAACTACTTGCGTATGGATACCACTACCATTCAAAGAATAATGGCTAATTGCTTGCATGTACAGAAAATATGACCGCCCCTCTTACACCCTCAGCACCTTCATCCCCCCCAACGCGCACACCTTCTACCTCGCCCTCCGAGCCCTGAACGTCTCTCTCTCCCTAATCCCTGACACAGTCTCCTCCTACACAATCGGCCTAATGCGTCTCCAATTCTGGCGAGATACAATCACAAAAACACTCTCCGGAACACCTCCCAAAGAACCCGTCGCTCTCCTCCTCTCATCCGCCCTCTCCGACCTGCATGAGCGAACAAAAGGCCAAGCAAGGGTTAGTAAAGGCTGGCTACTGCGGATGATCAACTCGCGAGAACAGGCGTTGACGAATGATCCGTATCCGAATATCGCAGCTATGGAGTCGTACGCGGAGAATACTTACTCGACGTTGCTTTATCTCACGCTTTCAGCGCTCCCTATGACCTCTGTTACGGCGGATCACGTTGCGTCGCATATTGGAAAAGCGGCTGGTATTGCAAATATTTTGCGAGGGTTACCGCTCATCGCGTTCCCGCCACCGGCTGCTCAGTCGCCCAGTCAGGCTGGTGGGAGTATTGGAGGCGGAGCGAAGCAGGGCGCCGTCCTCCTTCCTTTGGATATCATGGCGCAAACAGGAGTGAAAGAGGAGGAAGTATTCAGACAAGGTGCTGAAGCATCCGGGTTACGAGATGCCGTTTTTACAGTCGCTACGCGAGCAAACGACCACTTGATCACTGTGGAACAAATGTTGAGCAATCTCCGTGCCGGTCAGGATGTAGGCCACGATTTCGAGCACGAGGGTGAGGAAGGGCATGAGTATGATATTTTCCAGAACCAGCGCCAAGAATCGCCGCTTGATGAAGTGAACCGCGCATTCGGTGTTTTTATGCCTGCCATTGGTACTCGGTTATGGTTGGATAGGTTACAAAAGTTTGATTTTGATATCTTCAAGCCAGAACTTCTACGGTCCGATTGGAAGTTGCCGTGGAAGGCTTACTTGGCTTACACGCGGAAGACTTTATGAAATAGCCACTGGATTTGGATAACGATTATGTACTATTTGTATCAATATTATACAGTACTGCTATACACGATACATGGATGGGCATCATGAAACTATTCAAGTGCTTGCCTAGGTCAACATTCCCCAAAAGTCGTCATTTGACCTTTCTTTCTCTTCGCTGCTTTCTCGAACTGGTAATCAGTCGTCTCTGAGCGATTAACACCACATAGCGCTGGATTTTGTCACGCCTGGAACATTGTTAGCAAGTATCACGACATGGACGGCGAGGTTTCTTACATCAGAAGGAAAGTGGTTGCACAGACGAACGGAACTGCAATCTTCCAGAAGTACTTGTTTTTTCAACGTTAGTATGGGTCAAATTAACGCTGATCTAGGTAAGCGTACCCATCGCTATGCTGAATGCCCTTGAAGTCATCGAAGTTCATTCCAAAGTAACCCTGAAATAGAATTAGATACAGTGGGGGTCATAGTAGGGGCAGAACCAGGTCATACCGTAAGAAATGTCAACGGTAGATATAGGCATGTCACGAGGGTAAGCTGTTTCATGCTCTCGTTTTGAAAGGCACCTGGGTAAGGTCAGCTGTGATCCGTTTCGATATGCGTAGTCGGAAGATAGATACCAATTGTGTTAAAGATCAAATCAATCATGTTATCCGCAGCCCGTCTCATTTGATCATAACTCTCGACAATTGTAATGCAGTGATCAAGCGCATCTCCCAGATATGTATGACACATGGGACTGATTGTAACACTAGACCCTCCCAAACTTTTGAGGTTTGGAGTCATTGCTCCCGCATGTGGCTCAGATGCTGAATTTGAATGGAATGGCGTCGATTTGAAAACAGCGAAACCAGGAGTGCTCACAGGCTCCGATCGATGATCCCGAAGAGCGTTAATTACAGTCACTATAGGTTGCATAAAACTCCGGAGAATTGCAATCTCAGATGTGAGGATGTAAAGGCTCTTCGATTGGTCGATGTCTGGGTCTGTTAGGACCTCCAGTTCCAGGTCACCTATCGCATCCTGGTAGGCCATGGTGGCTGGTATTGCCAGATCGATTATTGCGTCTAGAATGGCCTGCACGAGCATGCTAGCATCGCAGGATTGACGTAGGATTGTCTCTGGTGAACTAAGACGTTTGACGATAGGAGCCTCGATGTCATCCGCGCTAGTCTCAAAGAAAGACGTCACGGTATTATCCGCATGCAAGAAAATTGAGACTTGCTCCAAGGTAGCGCACAAGCCCTTGGTCGCCAATACGGCATGCCGCTCCATGAATTCGATTCGGTCTTCATTTGGGCCACCTCGGAAACGCTGGATGCTGCGAGCAGGAGTCCCTCGGATAGCATTAGTACCTAATTGAGATGCTTGTTTCGAGAACGACTTGCCCGTTGGGCGAACACCAGCAGGGTTATTGAACTTGCTGTGCTTGTTCTTTTTCGGAGACATTTTGAACAAATCTTTGAGTGCTTCCAAAATGACACCGCGCTTGGAGAGCCACTTCAGAGAGACAGAACTTTTATCACTTACCACCGAGCTCTTTCGATCTCGGAGTCCAGAGGTTGCTCGATCGTCAGCGTCCTCATCTTCAGAGTCACTGTCATCTTGCTGGAGCTTGATCAGCTTCTGCAGGGTAAGCACAACGTATGCATGATCCGAGTACCAGTCCGCTTTCGTACGATTCGTTGTGTTGATCAGGTCTTCAATCGCAAGTCTGTGAATTTTTTTATGGTTTCCAAGTGTCCTAATAACGTCCCAGCTGAGACCGTTGACATTGATCCATCTGCACTGCACCCACGGTTCTCTTTCCCTTGCCAGAAACGGCTCAAGTGTGTCATTGTCCAACGCATATTGTCGCATCTCGTGTTGGGAAAAATCCACGACAATGATTTCACATCGTTTGTGAAGATGACTCGGTATGGACGGAGTCCAGTCGGAGTTGTAAGGAGGAAGCGGTTTGGTCGTGTCAATTCCCGGTTCAATTCCGGGTTGCCAGCTCGGATCTGGAGCAACGCCTTCAGGATGATATGAGCGCGCCGTAGTGGAGCGACGGATGCGGTTTCGGACAGTATCTGCGGAATTGACTTTCGTGGCTGTCGTAAATGTCTCTGGGGACGGGCCGTCTTCAAACTTCGGAAAATCCTCCTTACTCGGTGATCGCGGATGAGCCTCGATATCGATCGTATCGGAACGGCCTGGTGAGGTTCCTACCGCTTGCGCATGGTCGAATGAGCGAATACTCATCGTAGCAGAGTAAGAGGCGACGATTCAAAGCGGGAGAATGGAAGACTCGACTTGCAGGCATTGACTCGGAAAAGGGGGCACGGATTTAGAACAGGATGGGGACACGGCATTAGGGGTCGCCACAAAGAAAATAAAAGGTGAAAGCTTCTGTCAATCCTGGCGGATATGCGCAAATGGTCATTCAAGAAGACACATCTTTTGAGCTACGAACATTCTGGTCAAGGGCGCTGAAGATCATCACGGGGATATGACGTCCGAAGCTAGATTCTCGATCAGCAAGCAAGAACCGAGTAATGGAAAGTACCCGAGGAATACCATTTACAACACCACCAGCCTTGGATACAAAAGCCTCACTGAGATAGGTTAACGAGGTGACTCGAGAAACATGAAAAGAATGACAACTCGAAGTGTCGGAAGAGGAACTTGAATCTAAAAAGGGTTAGTGCAACCCCGGCTTGGATGGATTATGTAATGCACCAATTGCCCTAGGAAAGTTACCACCTGATCCTTTTGCCCTCCTTTTCTCTGCATTCAAGAACCCATTCAAGAACCCATGATGGTCAAACTGCCTTTCACAGGAAGCCCGTGGTGGATGCGGTATTTGCTATTGGCCACTCAGAGAATCATGGTCTTCTATTCTGGCCGTTTGACTTTAGAATACCAGGATCTTGGCATACGGCTATATTGACATAGAAAACAGACTAAATATTCTTACATCATAATCAAACGATGCCTTACTATCCACATATAACGTGACCCACATGCGAATGTCACACACGGGCGAATGTCACACGAAATCGCTCCGCCGCGACTTTAACACCAATATTTCCACCAACGCACATAAATTCCATTAAAATTACCCAGAATCGCCTTCCTCAGACATCTCTACTACTATCTGACAGGAATGTGCATTGTGTCTGGCTTTTCTGCAATTGCCACAGCGCCGTGCGCGTGTCTCGGTCCGCAGTTGCTGACCAGCCCCATTGCATGTTTCCTCCTTCAGTTGTACCTCAACCTCCATTTAATCCCCTAATTCTTGAGCTTCCTGTATAGAAAGTGACCCTCCTTTCCTTAGACGTGTTTTTTTAGCCCTCCGGCGTTTGCTAAGGGCCTCATTTGCCGCCCGAAGTTCACGAATCTCTGCTTCCATCAAATCCATCTTATGCATTATCTTCGTTGTGCCTTTCGCGAGGATGTCAACAGCATTCAGAATTGATGATGGAGAGCTATCTTGGTGACGAGAGATTCGGTTATTGATAAGGTTTGTCTGGGATGACGCCTCAATTGGGTTATTTGGTGTTTTAGAAACCCAGCTATGGGAACTAGTCGGCCGCGAATTCGACGGTGTTGGCATTTTAAATTGGACATCAAGCTTAGATATTACCCTTTCAGGGTCAAAACGGATAAGGCCAGCCCCTTGAAAGCCACCTTTGATATTTTTTTCTGTCATGGTGGCTTGGTATGCGGTGTAAAATGCAGGAAAGAAATCTTCTTTAGTGATATGGGTGACACGCGCCCGCATAAGCCCTTCAATATGCTTACCATAAGCAATCTTCAAGGGACTAAAGTATCCAACATCAAGAGGCTGGA